AATTAGAATTATCATTGATTAAATATTTACATCTAAATATTAGTTTGTCAGATATTTAGTTTATTTATAATTTTAGTATATTTATACTGAATTTTTGATATAAGATTGGGATCCTTTGTGTAATCAATGATTGTATCTTTTCAAATTATAAAGATTTATAGAACTGTATTTGCATTTATGACATACCTGGGTGTGTTTTCCATGGAAGCCCACTATGTTACCCACTCCCTACACTCAGGGTCTACTAGATTACTCCCCAGATCCATTTAGATTTGTCAGTCAAGGGTTTAGTGGAAAAAGCTCTGACCTACACACTCGGAAGCCAGATTCAATACTTACAGTATTACTGGTTAGCAACAGGATTGTGAGTAGTTATTTTTTTCTTATTTGCTAAATATAAAGAGTTAAATAACCTCATAAATTCCTTTTAACCGTGAAAGTTTGTGATTTTGTAAATCTGTAGATATAGGTTTTTTTCGTCTGTAATGTGTTCGCCATAGGTGTGTGTATTTGCCAGAGGGATATATACAGAGAGAGACAGTGAGAGGGAAAGTGAAAAATCATCCTCTTGCAGGAGGGATGGCCATGCTGCAATCTCTTCTTCACCTGGGATTTTGGACACTCATGCACATGTACTTGGTGTGATTTTTCTTTCTTTCCTTTAAAAAAAAAATTATTTATTATTATGATTATTTGACTAGAGAAACAAAAAAGAGTGGGAAAGTAAGAAAGCAAGCTGCCAAGTTTGGGACTCAAATTGCAGTCAGCCATGTGGGAGTCCAGCACCCCAAACACCATGCCACCTGCCAGCCCTGTGATTTTTTTTCAAGCTGCCAGGTCTGGGACTTGAACTGCTGTTGTCCATCTGGGAGGGAGCCCAGTACTTAACCACCATGCTACCTGCTGGCCTTGTAGTTTGGTTTTTAAAAGAACTTTGCCAGAAGGCATGACAGAGAAGGAGCGAGCACTCCCTAGAGGGAATGATTATTCTGTAATCCCTTCTCCTTTTCTCCTTCCTGTCAGGCTTTGGGGCATGCACACAAGTGTGCCTGGCTTATTTCTCAAGTATCTGGGTCTGGGACTTGAACTGCACAGTTGACCATGCAGGATATGGCTGCCTTTACCTCCAGGCCATGGTTTGTGTGATGCTGGGACCTTGGACTGGAATGTAACTCCCAACTAGAGCTGCATTTTCCAGGACTTCATGTTAGTTACCAAGGACTATCTATATGGTAGTGTTCTAAAATATACATATTCATTTGAAAAATACTAAGTACCTTCTATAGTATTTCTTGTTCAACTTAAATACTTTTTTTCCATGGTAAATTTGAGACATCAGTAGAATTGCTGTTAATACCTAACAGGCAGTTTGAAGTAAGAGTCTAAAATTCAGGAGAGAAAACAGGAGTAGGGAGAGATTTGGGGTCATCCATGCAGGTGATAGATCAGAGCATGGAAGTAAATGAGATTTGGGGGAAAGAAAAGAAGAGGGAGTAGACAGATAAAAGAGTAGAATCCCTGGGGACTGGCAGATGGCGTGGTGGTTAAGGTGCTAGATACTCCCACATGACTTACCATGGTTCAAGTCCCGGACCTGGTGGCTTGCTTTCTCGTTCTCCCCATCTCTGTGTTTCTCTCTCTGGTCAAATTAAAATAAATGAATGAATAATTAAAAAAGAGTAGAATCTATGGTTGAAGGGTAGTGAAATTTGTGGCACTCTACACAGATGGGAAAGGAACCAAGAATCAGAGAGAAATAGAATACATTGTGTTACTGAAAAAAGAAAGTTTCACACATGAGAGGAACTTTATCTGAGAGTCAGATTAGAATAGACCAACATGGACTGTATACCCTAGTAGTTAAGGAAAGTTGAATCCCACATGGCCAACTGAGGTTCGAATCCTAGCCTTGGGACCTTGAAAACATGCTGGGTACACGTGTGCAGCCAAAATTCTGACAGAATAGAGAAATGGAGGAGGAAGGATTGTGGTGTTATCTGATCCCACCCAGTTGTGGAGGGCTTTTTCCTCTGCCCTCACACCTGATTGTTGCTGGACAGGGCACATGCCTTCTGGCAACTAAAAAAAGCAAAGCAAAAGCCCATTGCTAATTGAAGATGAGTTAGTCATGGAAGTAAAGGTTATAGTTTAAACCATTACAGGGCATGCAATTCAGTGTACAAAAATCAAACTTTTGTCAGTTTTCAGTTGCAGTATTTTAATGTTTTTGTTTGTTTTAAGGGTGGTTCCCTCATACTCAGTGTTGAGGATGAGTAAGTTTGCAAGGTTCCATACTGTACATGAGTCAGAGTAAGGTGATGCGGTGAATGGAAAGCACTGAACTCAGAACCACAAATTCTGGGTTCCAGTCCAAACTCCATTATTTTAGCTATACAGTGATTTCAACATCTTAAGAGTGGAGAGGTTTGGAAACAGATCAATTGCAATCAGATTGGTAATTATTATACTAAACATGATCAAAAGTACTTGGGCAAATGTTTTCGTAAATTTTTAGGGGCTCAATTTCTTCACTTATAAAACTAGATAGGAGGGCCAGCAGATGGCGTAGTGGTTTCTTTGCTGAACTCGTGTGTGCCCAACCACATTTTGAGTCCTGGACCTGGTGGCTTGAAAATCATGCTAGGGGTGTGTGTGTATGTGTGTGCGTGTGTGTACGCATGCATGTGCATGCATGCGTGCCCAAGATCCCAGGAGGAGAATGGAGAGAAGGGATTGTGGTGTGGCATTTCCCCGGAGGGTGATTTCTCCGTTTCCTCTTACTGTCTCTGTCTCTGGCGAGCACATGCATCCTGTGGCAAAAACCTCCAAAAAAATTAAAAATAGTTTTAAGTATTATAATCTACATAGTATACCCCCATTCAGTTCTGAATTACTGTTTGCCTCTAAATATTTGTCTTTATAGTGTATATGACTGTGTGTGTGTGTGTGTGTGTGTGTGTGTGTACTTTTACTGTATATATTCACATACATGCATGCATATATATGTTTGTTTATTTCCTGAGAAGGAAAGGCATGTACCTGTGACAGGGTCATCATGCTATAATCCTATACCCAGCCCTGTGGCCAGCTAGGATCATGGGCACACTGATATGTTCAGGTAGACTGAGGATGAACCTGGAGTCTTCCCTACAGCCTCCTGCATCACATAGCAGCAGCCCTCCTGCCTGCAACACAGTGACTGGACCATCTGTGTATTTTTAAAAATCTGTTATATAGTATACTGTTGTGATTTCAGTAAGTTTATTGCAGAGGCATATGCAAAATAAGGGAAGATATTTACAAGGGAACCCACCAGAAGAAAGGCTCTTTGATGTTCAGATAGAGAAAGCATATATGGGACAGGAACTTTCCAGCAGGATGTTTGAAAATAATTCTGGGGTACACTGATTTTCGGGTGACCTGTTTTGGAATGATGGAGCAAAGGGCAAGGTGTGGGTTGCTTCGCGTATACCGTATGAGACATAGGTGAGTGGGCCTGGAGAGCTGATGGTTTCTGCCACGACATTCTGTGAGTGACTTACTGCGCCCGAATCTATTTCTCTCCATACTTACAGACGTGTTTTGTGTGATGCAACAGTTGAAAAATGTGTATGTACAGATGAGATTTATTAAATATGAAGTAAAAGCAAAATAATTCAACTAACAATTCACTGTATAGCATACTGTTGGAACTTCCTGTACAGTGTCTGCATGCCCTCTCAGCTTAAAGTGTAGGAGGGGAGACTGTCTTGCATGCTCTTGGCCAGCGAGAAATAAGTACCCTGACACCCTTTGGAGGGTTGAGCTTGTTTCAAACCATGTATTATTTATCTCCTGGAACTGCTTTTTCTTACTGTTTATTTAGTGAGGATCAGTTTTGACCCATAGTGAGTTGACAAAGGGATGCAAGTAAAGCTTATTGTGTTAGTTATTAAAATGTGAGCTTTGGGGCTGGTTCCTTGGTTGGTAGTTAAGGCTGCTGAATCCTAAATGGTCAACCTTGCAGTTTGAGTCCTAGACCTGGCAGCTTGAGAAACACATATGTGCCCAAATCCCGACGGGATGGAGAAACGGAGAAGGGGTTGCAGAGTGACCATTTCCCATGGGTAGTGCTTTCTCCCTCTCTCTGGCAAGCACACATGCCCACTGGCAAAATTATTTTTTTTTTAAGTTTAACTTTATTTGTTTTTAATTTGACCAGAGAGGGACAGAGTAGGAAAGAGAGAGAAAGAATGTGAGAAAGCAAGCTACTGGGTCTGGGACTTGAACTGCAGTTGGCCAGGTGGGAGTCCAGCATCCTTAATCACCACCTGCCGGTCCCAAAATTAATTTTATTAAATGTAAGCTTTACAGAGACCAGTGGCCTGAGATGCCGCTAAAGAAATGGCTGAAGAACAGTAAGGTGAAGATTGTACGGCCACTAACCCTCCTAAAGTATAGACAGAGTCAGATTGTCAAAGTGTTCATTTTGTGTCCTTCGATATAAGATGACTTTGTGTTCACAAATATCATCGAGGTTGCACTATGTGTGGCCTCCACAGAGCTAGATGCTAGAGGTAACATTGATGAGCATGATACAGCATGCCCCTCATGGATTTCATCATTTAGTAGGAAAGAGTTAAACAAAGGACAGAGACTCATAGGACAGTTTTGCCCAAGTAGAATTTTGGTTGCACATCTAACTGGTTCCTGGCAAAAGCCATATTAACTGCATCTTGTGTCATGACCTCAGCCTCGCTCTTCTCTTGCCGATCCTGCATCTCATTATAATCATGCTATAAGGAAAAATTAGATAAAAGTGTTCAGGAGCATGTGATAAGCATCTATGGCATGTAGCTGAGAAAAAAGGTTAACCTCATGATTTCTGGGAGAGTAACATAAAAATGTATTTGCATGCCAGATCATGTTCTTGAGTACAAATGTGCCTTAACATTTTTTTTTTTCTCATTTAATTAGATGAGACAAACTCACATTTTCATTACTTTGCTTTTTGTTTATAGGTCCAGGGGCAAGTTCATCCTACTCTTGAGTCTAATGATGATGCTCTTCAGTATGTTGAAGAATTAATTTTGCAGTTATTAAATATGCTATGCCAAGCTCAGCCACGAAGTGCTTCAGATGTAGAGGTATGATAGATTTTGCCTTGTATTTACTTCTTACACATTTAATCAGTGTGTTTGTTGTAATGTCAGTGAAGGAGAAAAGAGTTTGCTCTTCAGTTCCAAAAAAATATGTAATACTATGTACTGATAGACTATATGTGTTTATGTGTGCTTTAACTATTCTCTGTTTTGCTTTTAAGCTAAAATAAATAACTTGAATAATATGCTCATACTTTTAAGAGTGGAATGTGTTCAAGTGTTTTTGTTTGTTAAAGTCAGATAGCATTACAAAGACGTTTCCATTCATCTTCTGTTATTTCATGTGGTAAGTGAATTCCTTTTTACTGATTGAAAGAAAGTGAACTATCTAAAATGTAGGAAGGAGGTTCCATGATCTCGCAAGACGATATGGTCCCTGTCCATTTAGAGTTTATAGTTTAGCAGAGATGAAGAAAGAAAGTGGGCAGTAACAATGTGATATTACCATGAGTAGGAGAGAAACCATAAAAGCCAGCTAGCATCAGCTGTGGGATTTAAGGATAGCTTTCCTTCCTTTTAAAAAATTATTTATTTAATTTTATATATTATTTTAGTTCATTTTTTTGTCTTGTTTTAGAGATTTTTTGCTATAGGGTGCATGCATTTGCTGGGAAGACAGAGAGATAGAAAATGAGAAATCACCCCCCAGGGGGCTGGCCGCATTGCAATCCCTTCTTCTCTTAGAATTTTGGGCATGCATGTATGTGCGCCTGGTGTGAGTTTTAAGCCATTGGGTCCCGGACTCAAACAGTAGTCAACCATGTGGGAGTCCAGTGCCTTAACCACTCCACTACTGGCCCCTATTATTATTATTTTTCAATTTAACCAGAAAGAGAGAAATAGAGAAGGCAAACCTCCAGGTCCAGGACTTGAACTGTGGTCAGCCACATGGAAATCCAGTGCCTCAACCATGCCACGTGCCTGGCCCTAAGGATGGCTTTCTAAAAGAAGAAACATCTAAGAAGAGTTCTGAAGGAATCAAAAGTTTGAGAGGAGAAAAATTTAAAGTACCAGCTGTAGAAAATAGGAGACAGAGCTAAAAATATAAAAGGAATTTTCTTTTTTTTTTTTAAGTATCTTTTTTCTTTTCTTTTTTGTTTTTTTTTGAGAGGTTTTTGCTATAGGGCACGTGCGCTCGCCAGACAGACAGAGAGAGACAGAGAGGTAGAAAGCTAGAAATCACTCCGCAGGGGGGATGGACACACACGCTACAATCCCTTCTCCATTCTCCTCTCGGGATCTTGGGCACGCACGCACACGCGCCTGGCATGAGTCTTAAGCCACCGGATCCAGGACTCGAACTGCGGTTGACAACGTGGGAGTCCAGCGGCATAGCCATTACGCTAACTGCTGGCCCCTAAAAGGAATTTTCTAGCAATTGTAAAGGGTCATTGGACTTTAATGACTCCAAGCGTAGAGTGGTTCAGATCTTTGGGTTTCTGTGACTTCTTTTATAGAACTCAAGTGGGCACATTGAAAAAAAACAGTAGTTGAGGTGAATGCACATCATGGATGTATAGTTGCAGAATAGTAGAGCAAGAGAATTCTGAAAATTGGTTAATAACAGTGCTTTGCAGTCTTTTCAGGATACAGTACACATAGAATATAGAATGTAGTAATTTTTTATGGCATGCTATGATTGAGTAAAATGTAATCTCTAGCTAGCTGATGGCCCTCTACTGACTGCTTTCCTTAGGGCCTAGGGATTGATGTATAGGCACACCCAAGGAGAAACTCCACTGAGAAGAGCATCACAGGATATAAATTACATAGGGGGAAAGTGAAATGAAATAATAGCTAATGTTGGAGTGCTTGCTATAGAGTATTATAGAGGATCTAAACACTTTCGTGCTTTCTGTTTCATTCGTACTTCATAATAACGCTATGAAGATGGTGCTGTTTTTTTCCGTTCCTAGCATATAAGCTCCAGGGACTTTTTTCTTGTTCACTTCTGAATCCCCAGAACCTAGAACACTGACAGGGAAGCCACCCAAAATATAAATGTTGAATAAATGAATGATGAATGAGGAAACTGAAGCTTAGAGAGGTTGAATAACTTGCCCAAGGTCGCAGCTAATAAGGAGTGAAGTCAGAAAGTCCAGCTTCTTGAGAATGCATTCCATTACACTCTCCTGCCAGGGAGGAGAGGGAGATAGGTAGGGGGGTTATCGGAGTTCTCCATGAGGTCAAAGAACTGATACCACTAGAGTATCTGAGTGACAGAAATAGAATATATTGGGATCACAGAAAGAGTTGTTTGAGACTTTGTCAGTAAAATACTTCCAAAGGAGGATGTGGCTATCGGGGGAGGGAGGCTGGGCTAGAGATGAAGGTCTCCAAGTCCAAGATGAAGTGCTAAGGGTTAAGCGGCAAAGTCGCGAAGGATGATGGCAGGACTTTACCTGAGAGTGTGTTCTAGAAGCAGCCTGGAGTGGAACGGTGCCAAACCCGTGTTCATGTGGGTTGTGGAGCAAGGACTGTTCCTGCTGTAGAACTCCTCAGAGAGATGCAGATTTCAGTTGAGGCAAAGAGGTATTAAGGAGCGTTGAATTACAAAGGCTGTGGGTGTGGGAAAGATTATACACTGTAGAAGCAGTAATTCACTTTGATTTCTTAAGTAATTCAAAGTAGTTTTTTACATTTTTATCTGATTTTTCTTTGAATTATAGGTAAAATCTCTTTTATCACAATTTCCTTTAGGTACCACACTAGGCTTCACAGAGCAGATCTTAAATAGAACTGGCTGCTAGATTCTCCTTTTCATTAGCAGTTCAGGTTTTCTTTTAGACCCATGTTAGGTTTCTCCACAATGTTGATAAAATGCAGCATCCAACCCTGTCAGTGTATTAGAAGGGAGTTACAGGTTTCATCTTGCTTATTTTTCTCATTTTGGTACCTTCCAGGAATTTGCTAGTTTGATATTGCAAACTTAAATTTACTCTTTTCAGATGCGTTATGCAGTACCTATGCTCATCTAATTTCCTTCTCTTAGTTTAGAAACCAATACATTATTTTCCAATTTTGAAGAAGATTGCCATTCAGAAATAACGAGTGTCTGTCTCTCACTTGCATAGATTAAATCAGTATCCAGGTATTCAAGACTAAATAAAGAGAATTTCACACTTTCTAATACTCAGAAGAGAATTCCTGAGATATTTTACCCTATACCCTATATTTATTTATTTTGAGGGAGATTTTTGCTCTAGGGAGAGAAAAAATCTGGAGAGACAGTGAGACAGAAGCAAGAAATCACCTCCTAGGGAGTTGGACGCAGCACAGTCCTTTTCTCCATTCTCTTCTTGGGATCTTAGGCACATCCGCACACATAGGCCCAGCGTGAGTTTGAAACCTCCAGGTCTGGGACTCAAACCATGGTCAACTATGTGGGAGTTCAGTGATGTAACCATTACTCCATCTGCTGGTTCCCCTATATTGTTATTTTTAAGCACTTCACCTCAACCCTTGAAATAGATGTAACTATATGAGGTTCCATTTAGCTAGCTTTGGGACTGGGGATGTATTTTTTTTTTTAAAGGAAATATCTACCAGTTGTATAATAAGATTTATAGCTACAAAACACCATTAAATAAAATTTGATATTCTTACAATCATGTAGGGTAGTCATTATTCTTAGAAAAATTGACCTTCAGAATAGTAGAATAGATAGAAATGATGGAAACTGGTTTTTCCCCTAGTCAGTAGTCAAATACTGTTCTTCCTGTACCACTCCTGGATGGGTATTTAGATAAGAATATAGAGATGTGAAGATGCTTAGATGAGTGTAATGGTGTCTTCGTCCACACAGACTGCCATAATAAATTACCTTAGGCTGGATCATTTATAGATAACGTAAATTTATTTTTCATCAGTTTGGAGTCTAAGAAGTCCAAGATCAAGGGACTGGCAGATTCATCATACTCACATGGCTGAAGGAAGGTGGACAGGACCCTTCAATCTTATTTTTTTTTTTTAATTTTTGGGGGCCAGCAGGTGGCATGGAGGTTAGGAGTGCTGGACTCCCACATGGCTGACCACAGTTCAAGTCCCGGCCTCCCTCTCTCTCTTTCTGGCCAAATTAAAATAAAATAAATGAATAAATAAAGTTAAATAAAAAAGTCTTAAATTTTTAAAAACATGTCAGAGGTCCATACAATCACCAGTGAGAGAGAGAGAAAGAGAGAGAGAGAAAGCACTCCTCACTCCCTCAGTGGGATAAGCTGCAATCCCTTTTCCATTTCTCCAACTTGTCATCGTCTTGGGCATTCATGTGCATGTGCCAGGTGTGTTTTTCAAGTCATCTGGGCTGGAAAGCTATGTCGTTGGCCATGTGGGATCCAGCCCTGTTAACTGCTATGCCACTGGCTAGCCTGGATGATTTAGTCTTTCTTTTTCTTTTCTTTTATTGTTTTAGAGGGCACAGAGAGAGTCAGAAAGGAAGGGAGAGGGAGAAAGCACCTACCCAGTGGGATGTGATCACAGCATAATTCCTTTTCCTCCATTTTTCCATCCTGCTGGGATTGTTAGCGTGCATGCATGTGCACATACTGGCATGCTTCTCAAGCTGCCAGAGCTGGGATTCAAACTGTACCATCACTTATAAGTGATCTAGCTCCCTCTACCAGCAGGCCTGAGAATTTATTATTTCTTACTGTGAGTTGAGGTTAATTAGAAAGCCCCAGGATCTACCATCACTATATTTGTACCATAGTTATACCATTCAGTTAACCATGGGTTAAATCAGTATAAACATCTTAATTGAAAACCATGTAAAGTTATTCCTAAATCTCTTGTCCTTTTTTGGACTAGTAAATCTATCGAACTGACTTGAACAAAAGAAAATTTTTGTTTTGCATGTTCCGTGGCATGTTCCAGTTCCCTCGTCCCCTTCCCTTCTCTCCTTTTTCACCTGCTGTATTCCCTGATGACTTAGACCTTTGTGTATTGCCTTTACTACATGAGGGTCGCATCCCAGTAAATAGTTCTGTTGTAACTAGACAACTAAAAAGGTTTGTAAATTCCATTTTAACTATCTTTTTTTTTATCATATATTTTTTTTTTTTTTCTTTTAAGAATTTTTTTGCCATAGGGCCCATCCACTCACGGGGGACAGGGAGGGGAGGGGGAGAAAGAGACAGACAGACAGAGACAATGAGAGGGAAAGTGAGAAATCACCTCCCAGAGGGTTGACCACACCAAAATCCCTTCTCCTTTATTCTCTTCTCAGGATCTTGGGCATGCGTGTTCACGCTCCCAGCATAAGTTTCAAGCCACTCAGTCCAGGGGGTCCAGGACTTACACTGAGGTCAGCTATGTGAAAGTCCAAGACATAACCATTACGCCATCTGCTGGCCCCTTCTTTTGCCATCCTTCTAATGCCATTATTAAAAATGATCACTCTTTGGGACGAGCAGTTAGCGTAATGGCTGTCTCGCTGGACTCCCACGTAGTCAACTGTGGTTCGAGTCCCAGACTGGGTGGCTTAAACTCACGCTGTGCGCGTGTGCATGCATGCCCAAGATCCCGAGAGGAGAATGGAGGAGAAGGGATTGCGGCGTGACCATCCCCTCTGGGGGGTGATTTCTCGCTTTCTGTCTCTCTGTCTCTCTCTGTCTGGCGAGTGCACGCGCCCTGTAGCAAAAACCTCTCCAAAAAAAAAAAAAAAATCACTCTTTTTTATTTTGCGACTGATGTAGCCTTGCATACAGATGAAGAGAAACTTTATTAAAGTTGAATAGGATAAACCTCTCCATTTTATTAATTTTGTCATAATATAGATTTCTTAGAATTGTGTTTCCACCTCAGAGAATCAAATGACAGTCTATTATTTTCCATCTTATTAGTAACTGACAAAAGTTTTATTCTTAAGGACTTTTTCAAATTAAATTTACTTTTTTATTACTATTTTTTTAATTCGCTACAAGGCAAGCGTCTCATCAGAGAGAGACAAAGAGAGGAGGAAAATGAAAAATTAAGTTGCCAGGTCAGGACCCAAACTGTGGTCAGCCATGTGGGAGTCTAGCACTCTTAACCACCATGTCACCCACTGGCCCCTGACAAAGTTTATATTTGGATTTATAATCAAAAGTCATGTTTCATCTAGTAGTTTTTACATACTAGTTGAATACTTATCAGTTAAAAATGATGTAATACTGACCTCTACTGGTTTTAATTATGATATATTGCAAGTGGATTTTAAAACTTGTGAGGATGAAAGCATCTTTGGTTTAATTCGAATTGCAGTCATTTATTAATGTAAGGAAATTCAGCTGTTATATTAATTTGAGTTCTTTCACTTTAATAGAGATTTTAACTGAATAATTACTGGAATTGAAATATTTTGTAAAAAAATTAATGACATGGAGAACTTTAAAGATAAGCTACAATGATAAAATTATCATTACCAATATGTATATATACCTTTGCATAATGGAAAAAAAATTCTTAGAAGTTTCAATTATGAAATAAGACTTGAGCTTGTTATTGAAAGTAAGGACAAGTGAATGAGAATTGCATTTAGATATTTGCTTCTTGAACTTAATTCTTGTTCCTTGAAATTTTATAAAAGTAATGTTTAAAGTGGCTTTTTCTCATTCCTGTCATTAGCTTTTTCATAGCAACGTTGAAATTCATAATGTGATTTTCTCCCTAGATAATAGAAGGGATGTTTTATCTCTTAATTGCCTAATTAAGAAACGAATATATTAACAATTAAGTTTTCTCTTAGCTAAAATATGTTTGTGAAAAGCTCTTCTTTTGTATTCTTTGATTTTTAAAGTGAATTTTAAGTGAAGAGCACTGTTTAACATACTTGTTGCTTAGTTGTTATTTTCCTATTTTTAAGGAACGTGTTCAAAAAAGTTTTCCTCATCCAATTGATAAGTGGGCAATAGCTGATGCCCAGTCGGCTATTGAAAAGAGGAAGCGGAGAAACCCTTTATCTCTGCCAGTAGAAAAAATCCATCCTTTGTTAAAGGTAAAGCTGATATACTGCCTTCTTGCCTTTTAAAACAAAATAAAACCCACTGTTTTCAAACACCTCGCATGTATTTTATGAATGGGAAAGTCAGTAGAAAAGTAAAATTCTTTCAAATTTTCCAAGAATTCTTGTGGTAGGTAAAAATGACGTGAAGATAAAAATGTGTTAGACAATGTTATTTAAAGTAATTTCACATTAACAGTAATTATGAAATAAATTGAAAAGACTAAGAAGTTGTTATTGTGGATTTTGTTTGTCTCAGGTATTATTGGAACCACAAAGAGAATTTATAAACTTTTTTTTTTTTTTTTAAAGTTTTTGCCCTAGAGTGCATGTGCTTGTTAGAGAGAGACAGTGAGGAGGGAAGTGAGAAATCACCTCCCAAGGGGGATGGCCACACTGCAATCCCTTCTCCTCCATTCTCCTGGAATTTGGGGCATGCACATACATGAACCTGGCATAATTTTCAACTTACTAGGTCCAGGACTTGAACTGTGATCAGCCATGTGGGAGTCTTATCACCTTAACCACTATGCCAACTGCTGACCCCTTTTTCTTGTTAGTTAGACGTAAGTGTCTATAAATGCTTTAGATATTAATATTTTATGTAGAAATATTTATGAGACTGCCATTGGACCATGTATAATCTTTGAACCAAAATTCCCTGAAAATCACCTAAACTGTTCAGCCCTCCTATCATTTAGATCAGTTTGACTGTCTCCAGAACTATTAGATAAAATAACTACTTGAAATTTTCATACTATTTCTATTTATTTAATACAATGAACAAACTCTTGATTAACCCCAAGAACAAAAACATAGGTATTAGGTCATTGGGAAAGTTGTGACATATTTTTCTATACAAAAATGTGTTATGACTTTGCCAGTGTCCCAGTATTATACGCTGGGCATTGTGCTTGCCTGTAAACCCAGCTACTCAGGAAGCTAAGGTGGGAGGATCTCAAGTTAGAGACCAGCCTGGACAACGTAGACCTATATCTTAGAAAAGAAAGACCAACACATGCGTGTATATGTATTATAATGAAAACCTTAGTTTTGATTTCATTAAGTGTGTACACACTGTGATGTAGCAGAATGCTGATATTTGCATACGTTGTCCTTGACTTTCATTACTCAACAAAGTTATCTCCAGTTTGTGAGATACACAAGCACAAAGTGATTAACTTCTCATACAAGCTCAGGAGACTCTCACTGACGTTGTTAGGAAATCCAGGTCTGTTTGATCTTGTCCAAAATTTAAGGCTAAACACTTGGGTGATGTTTAAGGCTGTCAGAAGGTTATGTTCAACATTCAGTTGTTTGAGTAGAAATATTTACTCTCTGGTCTGTGCAAGTTATGGAAAATTACCAAATTAGCAGTTGTATTTTTCATTATAATTCTTTTTCTGATTTTCACTGGCAATACATTGTATTATATTCTATGAGAATTAACAAATTGAGGCATGTGCATGTTGTGTTAATAGTCCTGTTTTGAGTTTTAAGATCTAATTGTGGATATGATTTCAATTTATTAATACATCATTATCATGACACATTTAATAATTTTTTTTACATATCCTAAAAGGTAAATGCAACCTGTCCCGAACTTGTAATAAACTTCTTATTTTAGAATAAACTCTTCTTTCAAAGATTTTATTTTTTTCTTTCCTTTTAATTAAATTGTTTAGAAAATAGAATTTTTTCTCCTGTAGGAATTGGTCGGGCCCACAAAAGCCAACATTCTCTTTGAAGTCTAATTACAGAATTATTTAACATGCTCTTAATAACTACTGTTGTTCAGTAGGACAGAGTTTTTTCTCATAGGAACAGCCAAGAATATGAAGAATGTGCTATTAGGGTTGTGGGTAGGTCAGGTATTTTTGGAAAGGATGGAGGTATGAGGCTAGTAGTTATTCCTGATACCAATAATGTATTTATTAACTTTTGCTTTGTATAGAAGAAAAACATTCGCTCATCGTAGTAACTTCTAGGTATTCTGAATTAGGTAACAAAGACCATAAGTTCTCCTCCCACAAACTAGGGCTTCACTTTCTAGATTAGATATTTTCTATTTAGTTTTATACTTTCGAGTTTTCTACATGATCAAAGTGAATTTTACTTACCTTTTAGCTTACATTTTTAATATTAATACATATGAGAGGACTTCAGAAAACCTCATGGAAAGTGCATATTGTGAAACAACTATACATAGATTTCAAAAGTATTTTGTACTAAAATAAACTTGTAGTCAATTCCATTTTTCTATGAACTTTTTTAAAGTCTCCCTCAGTTATAGTAGGACAATCACAAAAATTAAATGTTGATAATCACAGGTCTTGGTAAAAGTTAAGCTTAGTTTCATATAATTTAAAATTTTTAATCAGTGTGTTGCACTTATAGTATATGATATCTAAACATGCTTTTCTTTTCATTTTATAGGAGGTCCTAGGTTATAAAATTGACCATCAGGTTTCTGTTTACATAGTAGCAGTATTAGAATACATTTCTGCAGACATTTTAAAACTGGTGGGAAATTATGTAAGAAATATACGGCATTATGAAATTACAAAACAAGATATTAAAGTGGCAATGTGTGCTGATAAGGTAAGAAAATGAGCTATATGCTTTGTTCTTAAATTTTTGTGACTCATTGAATGCTAACACATTGTTTATACATAGTAAATCTGTATAGTATGTGTTGGGAACTATTTCTTATAATAGCAAGTATTCAAGACACTCCTCCCCTTCTTCTAAAGCTTTTTGCCTTAGGGCACGTGCACTTGGAGGGGGTGATGGTGGTGGTGGTGGGCAGACGGGAAAGTGAGAAATCACCTCCCAGGGCTGGTGGCCATGCTGCAATCTCTTTTCCCTCGTCTCCTCCCTTCTCCCCCTGGGGTCTCAGGCACACATACACCTATACCCGCTGTGAGTCTCAGGCCACCGGGTCTGGGACTCAAACCACGGTTGACCATGTGGGAGTCCAGCAACACAACAGCTACACCATCTGCTGGCCCCCAGACACCCTTTTATAGAAATAGGATATTAGATAAATATGTTAAAATGTGTTTAAACATGCATTTCTTTTCATGTATTACTGCAATTATTACTGCAGTTAAAGTACTCTTTCTCAGAGTGAGAGAGAAAAGAATAAAAGGTATTTTTTATAGATTCTTACCATGATGCTCTTGCCCCACTCTTGGAGTAAGTCAGGATTATAGTTAGGCACTGGGGCACCTAACCTGTTTAGGTTGGCCTGGGAACAGAACCTGGGCCTCTAGGCTTGCATGAACACCCTACTGGTTGTGTCACCTTGGCCAGGTAATCTCTCTCTTTCTTTAATTGCCAGAGGGCATGTGCACTTGCCAGAGAGAGACAGAGAGAGAGAAAGGAACAAAGCACCCCCCAGTGGAACGGGCTATCCCTTTCTCTCTATTTTTCCATCCTGTTGGGATTTTGGGCATGCAACAGATGTGCCCAGTGTGCTTTCCAAGCTGCGAGAGCCAGAGTTAAACAGTCAGTCATGTGGGATCTGGCTCCCTTAAGACAAGGGTACCGGGCTGGCCAATATTAATCTCTTCATAATAAATTTCTTAAAATTTTATTTCAACCGGAAGACTTAAAAGATTACAGATTTACTTGATCATAATTTTCAAAAACATAAACATATTAGGCAGTAGTTTTATTTCAGTACCTAGTCATCTTTAGATACTACTCATCATTTTACAATGATAAAGCTAAGAGTAAACATTTATTATAAGTTAAGCATATATTGGTATCACATTTGCTCCTATGGTACCCCTCTAAGGCGGAGATCTTACCTACATTTTACGAATGGATACTGCAATTGAGAGAGTTAAAGAAATTGGTTCAGATTTTTCTGAGCAGTTTCAAAACCTCGACTTGAACTCCCATTATATCTGAGTATAAAGTCTTTGCCTCAGTATTTTCCTTTTTTTGAGAGGTTTTTGCAATAGGGTGCATGTGCTTACCAGACAGACAGATAGAGACAGAGAGACAGAAACAAGAAACCACCCCCCCGGGGGGGATGACCACACTGCAATCCCTTCTCCTCCATTCTCCTCTCAGGATCTTGGGCACGCACGCACACACGCCCGGCATGAGTTTAAGCCTCCAGGTCCAGGACTCAAACCGTGGTCGACTACATGGGGGTTCAGCGACACAGGCATTAAGCCAACTGCTGGTCCCATGCCTCAGTGTTTTCATTTTAGGAAAATGACTTTGCAGAAAGAAAACATTTTCTGATGAAGTATTATATTCCATTTTCTTACTGTTTTGATTTAGAATATTCTTTCCGATTACTGAATCCATTTGATCATTTTTTTACAATATAGCCATGTAAAGTAAAAAAAAAAAAAAGACCTGATCTGAAGAATTTCAAGTGTTTTGATGTTTTTAAAGAAATGAGTATTTTTTAAATTACTATTTAAAATTGAATGTAAGATATTGAATACTTTTTTTTTCCTTAAGTCTTGCTATAGAGTGCATGTACTCACCAGAGAGAGAGAGAGAGAGAGAGAGATGGAGGGAGGGAAAGTGAGAAAGCACCCCCCGGGGGGGATGGCCATGCCTCTTGGGATTTTGGGTATGACACGCCCAATGTGATTTTCAAGCTGCCAGATCTGGGGTTCAAACTGTGGAGTTGACCATGGAAAATATAGCACCTTTTCCACTACACTACCTGCAGGCCCCAATATTGGATACTTTTTAATGAATGAGATAAACCAGATTTTTTTTTTTTTTTGGAGAGATTTTTGCTATAGTGCGCGTGCGCTCGCCAGACAGACAGAGACATAGAGACAGAAAGCGAGAAATCACCCCCCAGGGGGGATGGTCACACCGCAATCCCTTCTCCTCTATTCTCCTCTCGGGATCTTGGGCACGCACGCACACGCGCCTGGTGTGAGTTTTAAGCCACCAGGTCCAGGATGCGAACCGCGGTCGACTACGTGGGAGTCCAGCGACATAGCCATTACGCTAACAGCTGGTTCCCATAAACCAGATATTTTTGAAGACCTTCTCTGTGCTCATATAACAAGGAGATATAAGAGAAGTATAAAATAGGCTCCAAAGTTGATGAAAGGACATTTACATTCTATTCATCAAGAAACAGAAAGTAGCACAAATAAAGTATTATTTTTCTGTGTAAGAGGGATAATGGTGTTGTAGAAGTTCACAAGAAGGGGAAAGATGAGTTTCAGTAAAAGTAATAGCATAGAATTCTTGGGAAAAACAGGGCTCATTTTGATTATTCCCAACAAATATAGTAACAAAGGCAAACTAGAAGGTTATAAGAATTATTCTGAGAGAAACAGTGAGGCCATGGAATAAATGATGGCAAGGGTTTGTGACAGAGGAAACCAAATCAGAGAGAAATTTATTGAAACCAAATTAGAAATAATAGGTTAATGAGAGACAGACATACAGACACTAGTTTTTTTTTTTTTTTTTTTTGCTATAGTGCACGTGCACTCGCCAGACAGAGAGAGACAGAGAGACAGAAAGCGAGAAATCACCCCCCAGGGGGGATGGTCACGCCACAATCCCTTCTCCTCCATTCTCCTCTTGGGATCTTGGGCACGCACGCACACATGCCCGGCGTGAGTTTAAGCCACCAGGTCTGGGACGCAAACCACGGTCGACTACATGGGAGTCCAGCGACATAGCCATTACACTAACTGCTGGTCCCCAGACACTAGTATTAATAGAGAGCTTCAAGGAGGCAGTAGGTGATATCAGATGTAGACTTCCGTTTTAGAGAAGCTATGGAGGGGTAGTGTCAGGATATCTAAGAAAGGCGATAGTTACATGTGCTCTTTTTCCGTCATTTAAAAACTGTATTCGAAGAACTTGTTAGGGCATCTAACTTCATATTTGACCATAGATTCATATTGTATTCTACTTTTTTATATCTCTTGACTACACAGGTATTAATGGATATGTTTCATCAAGATGTAGAAGATATAAATATATTATCTTTAACTGATGAAGAGCCTTCCACCTCAGGAGAACAAACTTACTATGATTTGGTAAAAGCATTTATGGCAGAAATTCGACAATATATAAGGGAACTAAATCTAATTATTAAGGTTTTTAGAGAGCCCTTTGTCTCCAATTCAAAATTGTTTTCTGCTAATGTAAGTATCGTTTTATATATATGTCTATTATTGCATGCAATTTTCAATTTTCTTGACTGTTTCAAATTTGAATTTGTCTAGTTCGTAGTTTGCAATTTGTCAATTTTTTTAAATTTGTGGGACTTAATTCATGATCACAAATAAAAAGTTACAGCAGTATTAAAAAATTAATCATCAGGAGCCAGCAGGTGGTGTAGTGGTTAAGGCACTAAACTCTCACATGGCCAACTGCTATTCGAGTCCCTGACCCAGCTTCTTGAAATTCATGCTGGGCATGTTTGTATGCATGCCCAAAATCTTGAGAGGAGAGTGGAGAAGGAACTGTGGTGTGGCTATCTCCCCTGGAGGGTAGTTTCTCACTTTCTATCTTTCTTTTAAAAAGAAAAGAAAAGAGATTAATCACCAGAAGTTAAAAGACAAACTCTAAAGTAAACCAATTGTAAATATAAGAAATAGCTCCTTTCTTCAAGTTCAGTCTAGTCAAGACAGAAGTGTACCTTAAAATAAATTGCAGTACACTGTGGTGGTTACTGTAGAAGTGTGACAGTGGTGTCACTGGGAAGAAGCACAAAAGAAGGAGCCGGAATGTTGAAATTCTGACAAGGGATTGTTGATCTGACAGTAGTAATCAAAGTGATGTATTGGTGCTGGAGAGATGCTGAATGAGAGGAGCGAGGTTATCTAAGGGTATTGGATACTAGGAATTCCTGGAACTGGAACCATCCAGCCGTAGTGGCTGACAGAGAAACAGTGCTCATTGCAGAGGCTGGGACTGGGCTCAAGTAATGGTGATAAGTGAACGTTAGTAAGTAAGAGAGTACGTAATGGTCATACAAATCTCTACCTAAACTAAAAAGCATTGACTTATTCACTTGAAATGGATGAATTACATAGTATGTGTATTATATCTTAATAAAGTTATTTAAAAGACGAAAGAACAAAATAGAGACCAAAGATTTCTTAGGACAAAAACCAAGAACCAAAAATGACCAGAAAGCACATTAAAAAGGTACTCAGCATCACTAATCATCAGATAAATGTAAATTAAAACCATAGTAAGATACTACTACACACTTAATAAAGACTGACACTACCAAACACGGGAACTGTGGAGAAGCTGCTTGTGAGAATGTAAACTAGTGTAAACATTCTGGAAAGTAGTTGGTCAGAAGAAGAAAAGAAAACCTGTCTCCAAAACTTGTGCGTGAATATTCAAAGCAGCTTTATCTGTAATAGTAAAAAACTAGAAAAAAAAACAACTCAAATGTCCATCAACAAGCAAATGGTTATACGAAGTGTACGCCTATTCAGTGGAATGCTGCCTAGCAATAAAGAAAAATAAGGTAGTTATATACAAGGGGACTTCAAAAGGTTCTTGGCAAAATAGAATTAAGGTTTATTTTGGTGCAAAAATACTGAAATGTGTGTGTAGTGTTTTATGATACAGTTTCTGTGAACTTTTTAAGACCATTTGTACAGCAAACATAGATGCATCTCAAAAACATGAGCTGAGAAGCTAGACACAGAAGACTAGATATGATTCAATTTATTTAGTCTTCTAGAAAAGACACTGTTAAAATGACATAGAGCAAGTAACTGGTTTCCTAGGAGTGAGATAATTGAAAATGTTCTATATCTTAATTATGGTGGTGGTTATAAAGATGAATAACTACATAACATTTCAGCAAAAAGTAACATTTAAAATTCTTGGGACCAGCAGATGGTGTTATGGTTACATCACTGAGCTCCCAAGTAGTTGACTATGGTTAGAATGTTTTGACTTACTCATGCCGGAAGCAAGTGTATGTGTGCCCAAAATCCCAAGAGGAGAATGGAGGAAAAGGGATTGTGGTATGGCCATTCCCCCTGGGGAGTGATTTCTTGCTTTCTGTCTCTCAGACAAACACATGCACCCTATAGCAAAAATCTCTCTCTAAAAATAAATAAATAAATAAATAGGTATTTCTTATATGTGCATGTGATGCCTCAGAGTTGACTTGACAAAAATATAGTCCTTGATAAAAATAAGGTACCAAAAGCCATTGATTAATTAGTACATTTCAAAAGAGTAAATTTTGTGGTATATGACTTGTATCTAAATAGAAAAATTACACAGAAAAAGAAAAAGCCATAATTATTTTAACAGACTTAAAGTGCTCTTCCCTTTTTCAACTGCGTATCTATATAAGGATAGATTTTCTTCATATACTTCAATCAAAACATTGTGTCACAGTGAATTGAATGAAGAAATAGAAATGAAAATACTAAAGTCTTTTGTTAAGCTTACATTTTTCAGGTTTTATTAAAATGTAGAAAAGTGTCATTCATTCACTAAACATTTTTTTGTCTTAGAAAAATAGTTACTATTTATGTTAACACAAAATGGTTTTGCTATTTTTTAAGTGAATTAAATATTTTTTAAAAATTTGTTTTAACTTTTAATATAGTAAATATTTATAAAAATAATTGATATGGGAGGTTGAGGTATGTGGGCCCAATGAAGGAACAGTAGTGAGCCCAATTCTTTGTCTCACACTCATAAGGAATTAAAGAGACAGACACAGAGGAAGGATAGGAAAGTGGAGTTTATTGAAGGAGAGAACGGCTCCCTGGCAGGGAGGGGGTTCCACAAAAGGGGTTGGTGAAAAAGAACTAAAGCAAGGAGTTTTTATCTTGATTGTGAGCGCCTTTGTTTGGACTTGTTCTCAGGAGGGGCTTTTGCAGTGTGTTCCCCTCGTGGTGGGGGGTCTCATGCTAGATGGAGCTGGTTATTTTTCTCCTGATTTTTGAGTGGGTAGGAAGTTCATGAGACTCTTATCTAAGAGCTTTGGGCCATAAAAGACCATTACTTTCTTCGCGGAATGTGGTGGAACCTGGAAACAGCATAATTGCTGTATTTGCTTTTGGTCCATCACTGAGTCACTGATGCAGGCTGTTTCTTGTGAGCAAGCAGTTCAGAGAGAGCTGAGCTGCTTCTGAGCTGTTGTGTCTCCATCTTAAAACTTAGCCATTTTGTGATTCCATTTTGGACCTGTATCTTAACTATATTTTTAGGGTCCCTGTCTCCTACCTCATAATTATAAACAAAGGTTTTTGGACTCTTTAATGATTTTTAAGAGTGTGAAGGAGTCTTAAGGCTGAAAAGTTTGAGAACCACTAACCTAGGGAAATATATAGCTGACCTGTGACCAATGTAGGAGTTAGGGGCATAGACCCACTCCCCCTGCAGTTGAAAATCTACATTTAATTTTTGACTTTCCCAAAAACTTAACTACTAATAGCCTCCCACTGACCAGAAGCCTTATTGATAAAATAAACAATTAACAATAAATTTATATGTTATAAGAATTATGTGCTGTGTTCTTTTAATAAAGTAAGCTAGAGAAAGCAAATGTTACTAAAATCTTAAGAGAAAATACAGTGACAGTACTATACTGTCTTTTCAATATGTTTATTGAAAAAAAAATCCCATGTTTAAGTGGACTCATGCAGTTTAAGCTCATGCTGTTCAAAGGTCAACTGTTTCTGCAAATTGTACACCATCACAAAAGGAATTCTTCTTTCCTTCCTTACTTTCTCTCTCTCTCTCTTTCCTCCCCTCCTTCCTCTCTCTCTTTCTTCTCTCCCTTCTTTTCTTCCCTCTCTCCCTCCTTCCTTCCTCCCAGCCCCCCAGAGAAAGTGAGAAATCATACTCAGGGGGATGGCCATGCTACAGTCCCTTTTCCTCCATTGTCTTCTTGGGATTTGGCACACGTACACATGTGTGCTGGAACCTGGTTTGTTTATTTGTTTGTTTGTTTTTGTATAGAAAGATTTTTGCTGTAGGGCACGTGAGCTTGCTGGAGAGACAGAAAGGGGGAAATCACCCCCCAGGTGGTATGGCCACACTGCAATCCCTTCTCTTCCATTCTCCTCTCAAGATCTTGGACATGCACACACACACACCCAGCATGAGTTTAAGCCGCCAGGTCCAGGACTCAAATCGCAGTCGACTACGTGAAGTTCAGCGACTATGTGAAGTTCAAGCCGCAGAGTCCGAGACATGTACCACACAGTTCACCATGTGGGATCCAGCTGCCTTAACCACTACAGCACCAGCTAGCCTCATAAAAAGAATTCTTAAGTACTTTTTTTATATGTATTTGCAAGTTATTAAAATTTCTCAGCGCATTTACCATATTAAATTTCATGGTTTAAATGACTTATTAAGGCCCCAAATTTATTTTTTATTATTAAATACCTAACTAAACTTGTGTGTTTTTTTCCCCAACAGGATGTAGAAAATATATTTAGTCGTATAGTAGATATACATGAACTTAGTGTGAAGTTACTGGGCCATATAGAAGATACTGTAGAGATGACAGATGAAGGCAGTCCCCACCCTTTAGTAGGAAGCTGCTTTGAAGACTTAGCAGAGGTAAGTACCTCAGTTATATACCAAAAGAGTCTGCATAAACCTACATCTACATTAAAATTGGAAATCTTAATTCTTGTTTCCAGCTGACTACTTATCTCTTACTGCCACTTCCTCAAAAAGTCATTGTTAACATTTGTTTCTTTTATAAAACCAAAAAAGTAGTCTCATTGATTATAGAGAAGCAGATCCTCCAAGAGAAGAGGCATTACAGCTGACACCCAAAAGCCTACTGTAAGAGCTTTTGTAGCACAGGAAGAAAAGTCAATGATTGGGACCAGCAGGTGGCGTGACTAAGGCACTGGACACTCCCACATGGCCAACCATGGTTCGAGTCCTGGACCTGGTGGCTTACTTTCTCACTTTCCCTCTCTCTCTCTCTGTGTCTCTCTCTGGTCAAATTAAAATAAAATGAATGAATAAATAAAGTAAAATAAATAATTCTTAAAAATTAAAAAAAAAAAAAAGAAATGTCAATGATTGACCTGTAAATGAAGGGGCCATAGAACTTGGATCTGGGTCAGACTAAGCTTGCCAATCTAAGCTGTGCTACTTAGTTATGAGACTGTGGACAAGTTCTCTAAACTTCACTTCTCTATTTTATCTTTTTTTTTTTAAAGAATTATTTTATTTAACTTTATTATTATATCATTATTATTTTTCAGTTTGATCAGAGAGAGACAGAGAGGAAGTGAGAAAGCAAGCCACCGGGTCCGAGACTTGAACCGTGGTCGTCCATGTGGGAGTCCAGCACCTTTAACCACCATGCCACTTGCCGGCCCTCTATTTTATCTTCATAAAATAAAAATTTTCAATGAAAATTAAATAACCCATCTGAAGTGTTTAGGTAACCACCTTCCTACAAAAGCTACTCCATCATGATCATTACATTATTATTTTGAATAGGAGGAGTGCAGTGAACAGGAAAATCAGGCCCAAAGCCTATGTTATTTGCATATCATGATGTAGAAAAACTGGTAGTCTTCTCCTTGAAAATTCCTTTTTTAAAAAATTGTTTATTTAATTTTATTTATTATCATTATTTGGTCCAAGGGAGACAGAGAAAGGGAACGTGAGAAAGCCAGCTATCACATCTGGGACTTGAACCATGGTCGGCCCTGTGAGAGTCCAGCAGCTTAACCACATGCAACCTGCCAGCCCCATTTTTCTTTAAAATAATTATTTAATTTTATTTATTATTAATTTTCTTCAGTTTGACCAGAGAAACAGAGAGAGAGAGAAAGCAAGCCACCAGGTTCAGGACTCTAACCACGGTTGACCATGTGGGAGTTCAATGCCTTAACCACCATGGCACCTTGCTGGCTCTAAATATTTCTGGTGGAAAAATATATGAATTAGTTCTAGTAAGTTAGCAATGATAGTCATTGTGAGGTTTCTAGCTCTTGCTCTGTTTTCACTCTGAAATTTACTCTGTCCTACTATAGTACAGTGTTGAGCTCATAAAAAAATCATTTTTTACACTTACATGCAAAATGGAATGGTAATTCAGTCCTTACCACTGCCTCTCCACTCTTGCTCCAGATACATAGAAGTAATAAAGTATAAAAAGCAAAAAAGTAGAATCTCCATAACTAGACTTGAAAACAGGATCAGAAATAGAATAGGTAGTGAATTTAGTATCTGGGTGTTTAGCTCTAAGAATAATGAAAACTGAATGTACTCCATGGAAGGCAAAACAAGGTTTGCTCCAAGTCCTCACCTATAATAAGATGCTAGGAAAATCTGCCAATCTGCTGCTAGGACTGACAACTGGCTTGGTTGTTAAGGGTGCTGGATTCCTACATGGCCGACCACGGTTTGAGCCCCAGACCTGGCAACTTGCTTTCTCACTTTCCTCCTCTCTCTCACTTTCACTCTGTCCTTCTAAATAAATAAGTAAATAAGTAAAAGTAAAGTAAGTAAAAGTAAGTAAATTAATTAATTAATTAATTAAATAATTCTTTTAAAAATTATAGGCTGCCTCACAATAATAATAAATTTTCCTACAGTATTAAGCCAATATGGTCATAAATCCTGAACCCAGCAGATCATTTAAAGATCAGATTCTGGTCTGAAAGAATGATCATAAAAAGATAAAAATGAAACCAAAAATTAAAAGCCTCCCACTAAAATGCATATAGTACAGAATTCCAAAATACAAGATAAATTGTAATGCTACTTCAGAATCATATCTAACTAAATCAAGAATTAGAACTTAAATGTATTCCAGATTATATTAGTTTTGCGCAATTGACATACAAAGAGTTCAGAAGAAGTTTAGGATGTCTAAAGAACATCCTCATGAAGGAAAATGATTCATTTATAAAGCTGTGCTACACAGTAGATGGGAACAAGTACAGATGGGCATCAAAAAGAAATAACTAGCGATGTTGGAATTAAAGATATAGGTGTTGAAATAAAAGCTCATCATGTAATAATGAGCTGCACCCAGTTCAAGGATGAAGTTAGTGAAGTGGAAGATGGAATTGAGGAATTCATTGAGAATGTGACTGAGACCAAGATAATAAAGACCATTTCAAAGTACTGAAGGTTGTTTTGAGAGACCTGAGACACACCTAGACATATAAAATAGGAGTTCTAGACAGAATGGTATAATATCAGTATTTGAGGAGATGAAAAAAATAAAAATTAACCTCAGCCAAAACTTGGTAGTAAAACTATAGAACCTATAGAACATCAAAGGTAAAGAGAAAATCTTTTTTTTTTTTTTGGAGAGGTTTTCACTATAGGGCGCATGCACTCGCCAAACAGAGAGAGACAGAGAGACAGAAAGCGAGAAATCACCCCCAGGGGGGATGGGCACGCATGCACATGCGCCCGGCATGAGTTTTAAGCCATCCGGTCCAGGACACGAACCACGGTCGACTATGTGGGAGTCCAGCGACATAGCCATTACGCTAACTGCTGGTCCCAAGAGAAAATCTTAATGAGAGAAAAGAGGATATTATCTACAAAAGACATTATTTGAATGATAGCTTTAAAAAAAATAGAGGCTAGCAGTCACTTGAGTAATATTTTCAAAGTACTAAGGGAAAATAAATACTTTTCTCTCTTATTATTTTTATTTATTTATTTATTTATTTTGGTCAGGGGGCATGTGCACTTGCTAGAGGTGGGGGGAAGTGAGAAAGCACCCCTTTTCCATGGCCAATGGTCACACTGCAGTCACTTCTCATCCGTTTTTCCCTCCTTTCAGGATTTTGGGCAGATACACTCAGCGTTTTTCCCAAGCTGCAAGGTCTGGGACTCGAAGTGTATAATTGGCCGTGTGGGATCTAGCCACCTTTAATCACCATGCTACTGACTAGCCCAGGAATATAGAATCTTCTACCTAACACACTACTATTCAACATTGAGTACAAAATTTAAAATAACAAAGTTTGTAGAAGAAAACATATGCTGGGTCAAAACAAGTTACCCAAAGAGGAAGAGAGAAATCATTCTGTCCCTTGCATAATTCAAAAAAAGTTCTCAATAGATTAAAAATGAAAAAAATGAAAAGTCATGGCACAGCAGTAATATGCTTACTCAAGAGAAGCTGGGTTCCATATGGTAACTAGGGTTTGATTCCCTGGTCAGTTGGCCTGAAACTGCTAGGCATGTGTGTGTGTGTCCTGTATCTGACAGGCTGGTGGTCTGGCAGGGGAAGATTATGGTGTGAGCATTCCCCATGGAGAGTGTTCATCTTCCTTACTCGTTCATGTGCACACATTTTATCATGAATAAAGAAAAAAATAAAAATGAAAAGTAGAACATTCAAAGTCCAGAAGAAAATATAGGAGAACATATTTATAACTTCGAATTAGGAAGGGTTTCTTTCTTTTTTTTTTTTTAAATAGCATATTAATTAGCTACTTTATTCTGTAGCTGGGATTTGGTTATCTTATTATTTTAATGAATTATTTTTATTTAAACTTTACCAGAGAGGGACAGACGGAAGGGAAAGTGAGAAAGCAAGCCACAAAGTATGGGACTCACACCATGGTCAGCCACATGGGAGTCCAGCACCCTTAAGCACCATGCCACCTGCCGGCCCTGAGTTGGGAAGTGTTTCTTACAGAACACATAGAAAACTCAAACCAAAAAGGAAGAGATTAAAGTTTAAAAACTTAAATTCGAGAAAAGACACCATAAAGGTATATGAGAAGCACAAAACAGTAAAATTGGACCCTTATCTTGTCTTCATGGTGAATGGTCAAGCTGCAATCCCTTCTCCTCCATGCATATGTACACAATAGGACATTCTCCAAGTGTTAATTATGGAATTGCGTATGATTGTAAAAGTGTGGAACAGTTTAACTGGTAATGAATAGAGAATGGATTAAAGAAAACTGATATATTCAACAACAGAATATTGTACAGTTTTAAAATAAACGAACTGGAAGGACCAACGAATCAAAATGGATAAATCGTAAAAGCAACTTTGAATATAAAAAGGGGCCAGTAAGTGGTGTGGTGGTTAAGGCGCTGGACTCCAAGGTGGCTGATGTGGCTGACATGTGTACACGCCCAAAATCCTAGGAGGAGAATGGAGGAGAAGGGATTGTGGGCACGGCCATTCCCCGGAGGTGATTTCTCACATTTTCTCAGTTAACCTCTCTGTCTCTCTCCAGCAAGTGCAAACACCTTATGGCAAAAACCTTAAAACAAAACAAAAAAACTTCAGAAAAATATATACATTATGATATTTACATGAAATTTGAGCACATGCAAAATGTTTATAGCCATCTTTTTTTTTATGTGAAATTTTTAAATTTATTAATCCTCATGAAAAATCCAATCACTGCAGATAGTCATTGCAGAATCTTTACTCCGACTTTTTACCAGCACCAACATTGACTTTTGTAGTTTTCGACTTTCTTCATTCTGTTCTTGTGTTCCTTTTCCTGTTTTCTTGACGTCTTTTTCTTTTCATAAAGTCTATGTTTGGGTTCATTTTTCTTGTTGCATAATCCAAGGAATCGTAAATCATACCAAAGCCAGTTGTCTTGTTGCTACCAAAAGGTTCTGAACCCAAAAAAAGATGATACCTCGTGTGGCCTTGTACTTTCTAGATTTTCCCAAATTTCCGTCTTAGGTACTGTACTGTTGCCTTCCCGGGGTGAAGGACGTCAATGACCATTTGTTTCCTCTGAAGTAGTCGGTTGGTCATGCATTTCCTGGTACAGATAATTACCAGGATAGTTATTATGATGGTGGTATATCCTCAGGCAGCCAGGGAAAAAAAGAGCCTTAATTTTTTTTTTTTTTTTGAAGAGGTTTTTGCTATAGGGCACTTGGGCTCTCCAGACAGAGAGACAGAAAGTGAGAAATCACCCCCCAGGGGGGATGGCCACAGCCCAATCCCTTCTCAATTCTCCTCTCGGGATCTTGGGCATGCACGCATACGCGCCCAGCGTCCAGCGTGAGTTTCAAGCCACCAGGTCCAGGGACACAAACCGCGGTCGACTACATGGGAGTCCAGCGACATAGCCATTATGCTAACTGCTGGTCCCAAGCCTTAATTCTTGATACATACATAATTATGTTGTAAAAACCTAAGTATGATAACCAAACTCAGGATAATACCTGCCTCTGGGGATCAGCAGGAGAGGAGACAGGCTTGTGAAGGAGAGCCTAGGCGGGATCAGTTTCATCTATATTCTTTTCTTTCTTTTTTTTTTTAAAAGGCTGAGGCAAGTATTATAAAACATGTAGCTTTTTTGAGCTAGATGGTGGATATAGTTAGGTTTAGCTGTTCTTATGCTTTTTAGTTAATTATGAATTTTATATTTTTCTGTAAATCTTGTGTTACATTTAACAAGTGAACTGATTACAGTTCATACATGGATTCTTTGAAGTGCTTGCCATTCTACAAATTTATTCTCAAGAATAAATCTATGTAGGCTGGCCAGTAGCCTAGTAGATAAGGGAGAGATTTGTACATGCCTGGCTGTGTTTTGAATCCTAACCCCCAGCAGCCTGAAAAACATGCCAGGTGCTTGTGCGTGTGTGCCCTAAAACCCTGACAAGATGGAGAAATGGAGAAGGGATTATGGCACAACCATGCCCATTAGGGGGTGCTTTCTCCCCTTCATTCTCTGGCAAGTACATGCACCTTTTGGAACTCACTGGGGGGAAAAAAGGGAATAAAACTGTGGTGAGAGTTTAGATTCCCAGTTCACTATTGATTTTTTTCTCTTGAGATTAGCAATTTTAGAATGATAATACTGTGTATTTTGTATCCAGAGGCTTGAAAAGCACCCCTAGGTGCATTATGTGTATGCCCCAAAATCCCAATAGGAGAGAAAAATGGAGAAGGAATTGTAGCAGGACCATGTCCCATGGGGGGGAGGGGTGCTTTTTCACTTTCTTTGTTTCCAGCAAGTGCATGTGTCCTCTGGCAAATTTAAAAAAAACAAAACAAAGGGCGGGCAGGCGGTATGGTGATTAGGGCGCTGGACTATCACATGGGTAGCCATAGTTCCAGTCCCTGACCTGGCGGCTTGCTTTCCTACTTTCCCTCTCTGTCTCTCACTTCATTCCTCTCTGGTCAAATTAAAATAAAGTTAAAACAAAACAAAACAAAAACAAATAGTACTATCTACCATTTATTCAGTGTTTATTCTGTGTTAGTATAAGCACTTCAAATATATCTCATTTAATTCCTAAAACAACTCTGTAAAGTAGATATTATCCACATTTTCCAGGGATGAAGCAGGCTTACAGAAAATAAGCAGTTTGTCAAAGGTCTCACAGATAAATGGTAGGGTATGAATTAGAACGCGGGTCTCCCTGACTCTAAAGCCAGTGCTTTTAAACTGCTATACTGTATAAAGCTTTTCCTTTACCTGTTATCTTCAAAATTCTGTAATAAATTAGAGCTTCTTAAAAGAAGAAGACAGACATGTCTGCTGCATGTGATCATTTGTAGTGGCTCAAAGAGATCCAAGATAATACATTTTTTATCACATTTTTATTATTCTCTGCCATCTAGTCTATTCACATCTCTTTCCTAATGTTATTGTTAAAACCTTGTTAGCTATTTCTGTAAAATACACAATGGTCTACAGCATCTAGTGTTATTATAAAAATGTTTAATTGAGAAGACAGCTGAAGGAATCCAGAACAACTTGGAACTTTTATGCCATATTTTATTTCACAGTGATCAGAACTCAGGTCCTCTGATTTCCGATCTGGTGGTGGTGGTATTTAGCTTTCCCTTGAAAGGCAATCTGAAAACAACATAAAGGATAACTAATGCATAGACACTTTTATAGCATTCCCTCTTATTTTCTCTACTACACTCCTCCACTAGATGTCCTCTTCCCCTTTCTAGAATTGCCCTTATGGAAATGAGCTCTTGCTGCTATATAGAACACCATTTTCACAATAGATTTTTTTCTTTTTTTTTTTAAGAGTTATTTATTTAATTTTATGTATTTTCATTATTCAGTTTGACCAGAGAGAGACAGACAAAGGGAGAGTGAGAAAGCAAGCCGCCAGATCCAGGACTCAAACCACATTTGGCCATCTGGGAGTCCAGTGCCTTAACCAACATACCACCTGCCAACCTCTTCACAGTAGTTGTGTCATTTTTTTTTTTTTTTAAAGAATGATCCCATTTAACTTTCTTTCTTTCTTTCTTTATTTTTGACCAGAGAGGGACAGAGTGGGGAGGGGCAGCAAGAAAGCAAGTCACCAGATTCGGAACTCGAACCGTGGCTGGCTGTGTGAGTCCAGCTCCCTCAACCACCATGCCACCTGCCAGCCTCAAATAGGGTACAGGATTGAAGAGAGTAGAGGTCATATTCTTCCTGCTAAAATCAAGATGTTGACTCTTTTTCCTCAGAAATCATCAAAATCAGTAGATTGTACTCTTTTAGACCTAGCCATTAGAATTTAGTTTATTAATGATTGGTGATTTATAATGATTATGTTAAAAATTTTGGGCAGTTTTGGTTAAATTGCTGCTTAATTGTTTTGTAAAAACTGTTAACAATGAATTATAGATGATATCAACTATTACCTCTGGTTACAATATAGCAAAGTAAAAGTCCACCACAAAGAAAACACTGTGAAGAAATAAACATGTGACATCCATATTCTGAATGTTCACTCTTTATCTATGTTTGTTGTTTAAGTTAAGCTTTGGGTTTTCCAGAACCAAAATTTGCTCACTCTTAACAGCCATGTTTGTTGGTAACACATCTAGAATCCTTTAATGAGAAGTAGTACCACATACAAAGATCCTATCACTCATTAGAAAGAACTGACTTATTCCCTTTCCTGAGAATATTAGATTTATTCTGTTAAAACAATTAATAGGGCCATCAGGTGGAGATTAAGGTGGCGACACCATTCGAATCCCAGAATTACATTGGTCACATGGGCATGTGTACCCAGAATCCTGAGAGGACAGTGGAGGAGACAGGATTGTGATATGACCATCCCTCTTGGGGGTGGTTTTTCCTCTCTCTCTCTCTCTCTCTCTCTCTCTCTTTGTCCAGCAAGTGTATAGCAAATGATGATAATTAATAATCATAATTTTGAAGATTTAAAAGAAATATGATTGTATTGGCATGGATAATACATTAATATATTTTTGTGTTTATGGTGAAAGTTTATTTATGTTTTACTTTAGAGAAAGTATTGATGTTTTACCTTCTCTGTTTTTTAAGGAGCTTGCATTTGATCCTTACGAATCATATGCTCGAGATATTTTACGACCTGGTTTTCATGATCGCTTCCTTAGTCAGTTATCAAAGCCTGGGGCAGCACTTTATTTGCAGGTATAGTAATTTTTAAATCAAGATGTATGGTGTCTGAAAAGTAAACTTAAAAAAAAATTGTAATCATTTTTTTTTCTAGTCAATAGGCGAAGGTTTCAAAGAAGCTGTTCAATATGTTTTACCCAGGCTACTTCTAGCCCCTGTTTACCACTGTCTCCATTATTTTGAACTTTTGAAGGTAAGAAAATTTTATTGTTATCTATAAAATATCCACATGGGATTAAAGAAATATTTTACCATTTCATTTGTAAGTTACTGTTTACTGTGTGAGCAGCCATATACATAAGCATGTGTCCATTTTCTTATTCCAATTAAAGAAATGTAACAAAATCTGCAAGAATGGCTTGTTTTTCTTTAACGTTAATAGTGAACTCTAAAGTAATTGTCAGATATTTTTATCTTGGTCCTTACTTATTTGCAAAGCCAATTCTTTGAAAACAACCTTGAATTTATGCATCCAAGACTCCATTTGGGGACCTGAGCAGATTTAGGGACTCAGATAAGGGACCCAGTGTGAAGATTAGGCCAAAGTAACAGGTAAAGTTAATTCACCTAATTAGCATAAATTTGCCACTGTTCATTAAGCAGATTTTTATTACTTTAGAAACACTCAATCTACATAATCCCAGCCAAAATTCCCCATTTGATGACAGTTCAGATTATTAAGAAGCACTGACTGGGGGGGAAATGGAGAAAACCCTGTGGTACACTGAAATTAAAGAGAAGTTCTGGGTTTGCTTCCCAGGACCTCCCTGGGTATGCCAGGCAAGCATGAGGGCCTGTGATCTGGGCCAGCTGGAACTGGAAATGGATCATGGCATGGAGACCCTGTTGGGATACCTGTATTTCTCTCTCTTCTTTCTCTCAAGAAATAAATAGCTGAACCTTAAAAAAAAAAATCTAGAGTTAAGCTCTCAGATTGCCTGTTGGGATACCTGTATTTCTCTCTCTTCTTTCTCTCAAGAAATAAATAGCTGAACCTTAAAAAAAAAATCTAGAGTTAAGCTCTTAGCAATCTATTTCAGATTGCAAGCAGCATGCCATTTAAGGTCATTGGAAATATAGGATGATTATTTAAGAGGATAAGCAAGAGGAAACATTTGGTATGTAAAATTATTTACAGAAAACTCACATGACTAACCATAGACATAATAGGACATCTATAGACAGTTTTGTTACATGTTATACAATCCTTCTTTGTAATGGTTTTTCCAATAATGGAATTTTTATGTGAGCCTCTAGTGAAATTCTGAAGGAATCAAAGCCATTTGAAGCTTGGAAGGAGTTACTAATTTATATGTAAGAATAAGGGGCTTTGATGAAGGTTCTAAAAGATGTGAAACCCATCATCTTATGTAAGAGAAATTAAGTATTTATTCCCCCAAGGAGAGGTGATTAAATTTTATAAACTTTTAACTGTGGCAATAGAATTTTAATTTATAAGTGCATCATTCAGCAATTTAGAAGAGTTCTCCTGATTTAAGCATGTGTATTCCTGGTTCACATTACTGCCTGAACTACGTAGCAAAATTAACAGCAGACTGAGCAAACTTGCCTCATTAATCCACAGATTCCAATCCTTTCGTATTCTCCATTCCTCAGCATTAATATACTATTTCAGTACATTAACTTGTACATTTCAGTACCTTTCAGTTCTTAAAGGTCTAAGATTTTTTTTCAACTCTGTAATTATTACTAGATCTCTCTTTTTTTTTTTTTTTTTTTCTTATTTTGTGTATTGCCATACCCCAGGTGCCAATCCGAACTTGGTAATTTTATATTGAGAAGCAATCACATTAACATTGAAGCAGTTAGAGGCAGAAAACCCAAAGGCACTAGTGCTAACTGGAAAGTAGCCAGAATTTATCTGTGGCAGAGTGGCTCTGAGAGCTCATTAGACTTGATGGAAGTCTAATGTTTCCTCTCCAGTTCTAGCTCAGTAACTTACTAGCTTGTGGCCTATCACAAGTCACTTTGCCTTTATTTATTTATTTATTTGGAGAGGTTTTTGCTATAGGGCACGCACGCTCGCCAGAGAAATAACCTCCCAGGGGATGGCCACGCTGCAATCCCTTCTCCTCCATTCTCCTCTCGGGATCTTGTGCACTCATGGACACGCACCCTGCATGAGTTTAAGCCACCGGGTTCGGGATGAAAACCACGGTTGACCATATGGGAGTCCAGCGACAGAGCCATTACACCAACTGCTAGTCCCCACTTTGCTTTTTTGAAACACTTTACTTTTCTCACTGGGTTGCTGTCAACCAAGATAATGTATGTAAAAGTACTTCATGTATAGTAAAGAATGTAGAATATTGTCATCTGTAGAGGTTGTTCTTATTGTCCTGCAGCTATCTTAAACTTTTTAAAAATGTTTTTAATTACCAAAGGGTACATGCACTCTCTAGAGGCAGAGAGAGTGAGGGAGAAAGCATCCCCCAGTGGGGTGTGGTCACGCCACAATCCCCTCTACATTGCTCCATCCTATCGGGATTTGGGGCATACATGCCTAGTATGTTTTTCAAGCCACCGGGGCCAGGATTCAAACCATGGTCAGCCATGTGGGATCTGGTTCCCTTATCCACTAGGCTACAGGGGCTAGGTGTGTAAACTTTTATCATTTTATTCCCTTACCACTTTCCTCTCTGGTACATACCCAAGTCTGTCCTTTTCTCCTGTATTCCATATCTTTGGTTATTAGATCAGGCCCTTCCCAGAAGCTGTAGTATCATCCTTGATACCTCTCTCTCCTGTTAGCAAATCATCAGGACTCAACTCCAGATATGACTATGGAATTTAGCTTGCCGTGTCCCTTCTCACGGACACTGCCTTTACACAGGTTCTCAGCATCTGTTCCCTGGACCTCTGTAGACCTTCCTGTATGGACTTTGCTCCTCCTGGAGCTCGCAGGGTGACAAGTGCAGTTGGCTCCCTGTGTCCTGTGACGCCAAGTCTCAGTTCTCTAGCTGCACCACGCTGTCCTTCCCACTTTCCCTCAGCACCTGATCATATCTGTATTATGCTTTAGCTATAAAGAATTTCTTAGCAGCCCTTCACAAGATAAATATATTTCATATATTTGCTGACTCAGTGACTATATCTTCCATACTGTGGTCTGCTCTAGTGTCTCATAAATAATATACAGTAGCATCTCGGTGTACACCTCATCTTAACTTGTATTCTGACATTTTGTGATGAACTCTTCACATATGTACACAATTTACGATAAATCTTTGTTTAAAATCCCAAATCTTAGACAATTATGTATTTCTTGACTATATATTTTGTTATGCTTTGAATGGAGGGGCCAGCACATGGCATAGTGGTTACATTGCTGAGCTCCCACATGGCCGACCATGGTTCAAGTGCTGGACCTGGTGACTTGACACTTCTGGGCACACGTGCGTGCATGTCCAGGATCCCAGGAGGAGAAAGGAGAAGGGATTGCAGTGTGCCCATTCCCCCCTGCACAGTGATTTTTCACTTTCTCTCTCACTGTCTCTGTCTGTCTTTTTCTCTCTTTTCTCTCTCACTGTCTCTGTCTGTCTCTTTCTCTCGCGAGTGCACATGCCCTAAGGCAAAAAACCTCTACCCTCAGTCAATCAATCAACCTATTTGTCTGAAATAGGTTTTATTTAGTGAATATTTTTTAAGTGAGTTTTTGGAAGTCACTTCAGATTGGATACTATATTTTTCTTTTTTTTTTTTAAATAATTATTTAACTATTCATTTATTTTAATTTGAGCAGAGACGGACAGAGTGAGAGAGGGAGAGAAAGTAAGAAAGCAAGCCGCCAGGTCCGGGACTCAAACTGCGGATCATCTATGTGGTAGTCTAGCAACCTTAACCACCACACCACCTGCCGGCTGCTGGATAGTGTATTTTTCTATTGAAAAATACACACTCTGTGGCACTGCGACACACAAGACATCCTTCTTTAAGCTCCTCACATAAGTGAGGAGTTAGCTTAATGACCTAGTAATAGGAATGAATGAACTCAGTCTTTAAGTGTAGTAGAAATTTAACTTCCAGAAATAAAAATAGACGAATCCAAGTTTACTTTTTTGAAACAAAGGAAAACTTTTATGTTAATATAAAATGATTAGACACAGCACTTTTTTTTATGTATAAAACAATTTTGAGTTTTACTCTTCTGAATATTGTGAATATGTTTCCTTTGACAGCTCCTTTAATTCCATTCATCTGCCAAATTTCATTTGGACATGTGATACACCATTTTGACTACTGCCTGCCTACTTACTTCTTTTTTAAAGTTTATTCATTTGTTCTTCCATGAGATAAAAAAAAGAGGAGCACTCCCAAAGGTGCCTCCAAGTCACAATCCAACCCTTGTTTTAGCTGGCCTGGATCATGGTATACATATGTGCCCCTGGCATGCTCAGGGAAGTCCTTGGGTGCCAACCCAGGATCTTTCCCGTGTGAGTCCGACTGTGTCACTGCTGTGCCACCATCTGGAACCCTCTACTTCTTTCTTTTTTTTTTTTAATAATTATTATTTAATTTTATTTATTCATTCATTTATTTTATTTTTCACACACACACACACACACACACACACACACACACACACACACAGAAAGTGAAAAAGCAAGCCACCAGGTCTAGGACTTTAACTACAGTTGGCCATGTAGGAGTGTCCAGCACCTTAACCACCACGCCACGCCACCTGCTAGTCCCACCCTCTGCTTATTTCTATGGGTCCAAAGAGTAATCTCTGGTAAAAGTGCTGCTATTTGTGAAAAGATGAATTGTATCATCTCTGTAAAGAATATGAGTTTTTTTGTTTTGTTTTGTTTTGTTTGAGAGGTTTTTGCCATGGGGTGCGTGCGCTCACCAGACGGAGACATAGAGACAGAAACCGAGAAATCACCCCCCAGGGGGGATGGTCACGCCACAATCCCTTCTCCTCCATTCTCCTCTCGGGATCTTGGGCACGCACGCACACGCGCCCGGCGTGAGTTTTAAGCCACTGGGTCCGGGACTTGAACCGCGGTCGACCACTTGGGAGTCCAGCGACATAGCCATTATGCTAACTGCTGGTTCCCAAGAATATGAATTTTCATTGTGCTTTACAATATAGTTCTCCCTAGATATGTTAAAAATATAGTGTTTTTTTATCTTAAGACTTGGTCATTTTTTAACAATTAAATAAACTGT